GAAAAAGCCCTACAAACATTATCAACAGACATCGTACAGCGTGTACTATTCTTGTGTTGCGGTACATGAATATAATTATATCGTTATTAATTTCTTTAGATACGCGATTCCATATTATATTTCCTTTTAATCAAATTCTAAAAGTATGCTTGTTGACTCCGGTATCACGTTAGTTAAAGACTTCGATGCTTAAAATGTTTAGGGAGAAATTGAATACTGGTGTGTATGTTTTCTTTAAAGTACCGAGACCAGCCATATACTGTATGTTTATGTTCCAAAATTAATATAATTTATGGCCTCCACACGCGTTACAGTATGCTCCTATTCTTTTTATGCTCCGCTACTAAGATTTCCCTTCAGTGGTAAAATTCCATATAAATTACAATTTATTCTTTAGTCTCGAAGTGCTTAATGTTACTGCTTGCCATCACAGACACACCTTCAGAAGCCCAAGATTTAAACAAATGTCAAATTTACACTGAAATATCAGTCACCTCATACATGAATTTAAAAAAAAAAACAAAGCAGTTGACCTTACCACACACTACTGTATGTGTTACTGTGTGTTACACTGTCCAATGCCGAATATATCAGAAACTGCATTAATTTGTTTTGGATTATGGCAGAAAAGTAGCATTTGGTGGATATACCTTGGAAAACAAACTGTTTTTGTGAACACATTTGTAAACACTGATGCCAAATAATCCTAATCCAATATCCTTAAAAGTCTTGTCTGATGGTGCAGGTGATTTTGAATATTCTGAACACCTCAGAGGAGTGATGTTACCATAGGAAACTCATTAAACTGTATGTTATAAATCCTGTAACACAGCCTCCATTCATGAAATTAATCTACACTGTTTATCTCTGCCTTCTTTACACTTATTTCCCACTGCCTTGTAAGCAGAACATAGCATCCATCTGTGCCTGTCACATTTCACACATTCTTACAGGGAATTGTTTTGTAAGAAAAAGCAGCCAAATGCTGAGTCACACAATTGCTTCGCTGCCAATTTAAAGATTTGACTACCTTTTCGAAGACTGTGACCAAAATTGAAACTTTGACCATTAACAGATGTTCTATGGTTTAGAATTTTATTTTTTTCTCCAGATCCACAGTTTGAGGATGATGTGGTATATGACAAAGTGAGTTTGATAACCCATCAGACCTAGTCATCTTTTTTAGGCTTTGAGCCATAGATTTAATAGTGTTGTTATAACATAGAGATGTGTAAAGACATTTTAAAGTAATTAATGGGGCCTACTTTTAACTGTTTTAATTAGAGCTACATTTAGTAAGAAAATGCTATTATCTTTGGTTTTTGGTACTTTAGGTTCAATATGATAATCCCTAGTGATTTATTTTGATGTTTACTTTTCCCTTTTGCTTTAAGGTGAGGTGATCCATCAATATTGACAGGGCTAAACATTACTCTCTTCCTCAGAACCACAGTGCAAATGACTGATATTCATATTGTGGGCTCAAGTGACTGTACAGTATGTGACTTACTCTTTGTTCTGTGAGTCACTCACCTATGCAGCAGGAGTTGTCCTCTTTAGAACGTCTCATACACCTTTATTTAAAGGGGGAACGTTTAAGAGACTTTTATTAACAGTAGTCACTTTCTGATAAATGTGTGTGCGTTTACGTAATAGAATAATTTAAAATGTTTATGAAATCATACCTGAATATATGTTGTCTGCTTTTGGGACTGATAGTGGGTTCTCCCTCAAACAAAGTGTGAGCATTTCAGAATGTTTCATTCAATATTAGTACATATTCACAAACCTGGTACAGAATGTCTAATTAAAGTGTTTAATATTAAAGGGCTTAATACGTATTACACAGCTTTCAAAAAGCTGTAGTGTAATGCCAAAAATGGGAAAGATTAAACTGTGGTACATCACACACACATTTATTTTTGCCCCTTAAACTCCACAGATATAGTATGTATAATATATGCAGTGTGTTATGTTTTTTTCATACACTCATGAAAGCTGTGCAGGATGTGATCATTTTTAACTGTTTGTTTTAGGTTTTAGACATTTATTAAGATGATTTATCCAGGCAGACAATTTGTAGGTTTTTAATATGTAATATACTGTATTTTAAACTACATCTATTATTCCCACTCTTGCTTAATGAAAACATTGTAAATCAAAGTCCATTGCATGAGTGATGTTTTAATCTCCACTTGAATATCATGGAACTTTTCTTAACCTTTTATTTTCTTTGTCAAATATCTACGGTATACTAACAAATCAAGTAATAGTATACACAGCTGAGTAGGAAGTAGTACATCACTCCCATGCTGCCACATTGTGTTTGAACTCAGAAGTCACACCACCTCTTTAAAGCTCTTTTTAATTAAAAGTATTATATTTTATATAATATAAAAGGAGAACATCCTCTTTGTAATTTTCTTGCTGAAAATACCCTTTCATTTAATTGATTAAGCTAAAACAATTCTAATAAAATCAATTCTGCTTGTGTAATTGTGAGTAGGTCAAGTTCTACACTAAAAAGATAGTTCATCTCATTTCTTACTATATTTTATATGACATATTTTCTCCTTGGTTCTGTTCTGGTCTTATATGTAGTTCGCGTTCCACATTCTAGCAAAATATTCCAGTAACAAAATGCTTGTGAAAATATTTCTCATGCATAAAATAAATATACAAATATGCTGTACACTCCAAGTTCACTCTCATATAAGGGAAACGTTTGCATGTGACCCTGAGTCAACAGGGATTTATGGCTTTTACTTGGCCTCCAGGGATTTAGTCATAATCTTTGGATGATTTAATGTCCTCAATCCCACCTCACTCAGTACTGCAGTAGAACCCCAAAGTCCAGGCTTTCCCACTCTCCTCTCCAGCCTTCATCTCAATACAAGGGAAACCCCCCACCCCTCTTCAGAACAGTTAAGTTTTGTATCTGTATTCTCTGGGGCAGGATTCAAATGTTCGCAGATATGTCCAACATAGCAGCTTCAAGCTTTTTTTCATTGACAAAGTGCTCTACCACTTTCCTTTCATTGAAGTTTTTCCAGAAAACTAGCACTTTCTACGATGGGTAATGAGATTGATGCATAACTTTCTTTATAGCACCAAAAGAAACTGGCAACAAATGAATTTTTCAATCTAATGCTGTTCTGTTGACTTCATGACTCCACTGTATGAAATTAACATCCATTGTTTTTATAGTATAAACACAGTTTATGCGATGTTAACTCATACAATTAATAGAAATGCCATGCCATTAGCATGGAGTTATTACCTATTTTACCTTTTTTAAATTAAAATTTAATAATGAATATACATAAACAGACCGCTGTTTTAAGTTTATCCAACTTATATGAGATGGTCTCCAGTTAGCATGCAAGCAGAAAAACAGAGACATGATCCATGTCTCAGACCAAATCCACCTGAGTTACATCAGGTTCTGGTTTCCATTCTCACGCAGTACAATAAGCTCAACCTTAGTGTCACCATTGTGAAAGTCACACTGGTGTGTACAGTATGTGTCTGTGGTAGTAGCATTTCCTCTGAATACTCTCAGTTAAAAGCTCCCTGTGCCCCTTATGCTTCATTAAGTGTTTAAGATGACAGTTTCTGATTTATATTTATATTTAATTGGCTGATGCTTTTTTTCATTGCACCTAACATTTGTACCCATTTATAGAGCTGGGTATTTTATTACTGCAATTTGAGTGATGTACAGTACCTTGCTAATAATAAATATTACAGATCTTTGAAAGGCACACAAATATTGCAGAATATTACAAAGAAATATGCTGCCATCAAATAAAACAACTCTTTGTAGGCATAGCTGTTTTAGAAAAGTAGATACATTTGGGATATTGATCTAATGTTTGGTTTTATTTTCATGACTGATGTGATGCTGTGATGAGTGACTGTTGTGTAAACAACATTATCTCATAAGTGAAGGAGTTGAGTGTGCTCAAGTGATGAGATCACTTAACCTGTGAATGTCTGAATTTCAGGCTCTGTAAAAATCTATAAAAGGAAAACATATGCACTGCAGATCAAGTCTTCAGGCCATTAGTATTTGGAGGCTGGAATACGTCACTACATTGTCTGGGGTATTCACATCCTGCTGTTTCTAATCCAACAAGATGTTACAGCCAAATGTAGTCTTTCAAATGATAGGGAGCAACCTGAGTAACCACGAGTCGCAAGCCTCACTAAGTCCAGGTGTGATGGTCTACGATACAGTCTCTACAGATCTCTGTCTGCAGTGATTTGATGGTAACTTGTAACTTGATGGTGCTACATTGATCAAGTACTGGGACCTCACTTGATGTCCTTCCCGTGGGATTATGTTGATATGACAATATTCTAGCAGGACAGCATAAGTCCTCATGCTGCTGGTTAAATTATGTCTCTCTTGCAAAACAAGCATGACAGTTAAGTTGCTGATGTTCTATTCTTCAGAATTAAGCCCCATTTGTGAGATGGGCTGAGGTGACGTGACATCGTAGACTCATTTGCCAGTGAACATTTGCCAGGCTAAACAATAGGAATAAAACAGAATCCTGCATGGCAACATTTGCAACCTGGTGTAAAGTGTTCAGTGGTGGTCACACATGCTACTGAACTTTCACAGTAGTTCCCCCTCTTGCTCTTAACTGTTAATCAGCATTGTGAATTATGATGTGACCTGTTTCACATCTGTTCAACACAATTTCAGTGTATCTGGTAGAAAAGAAAATTCTAATAGCTGTTACAATGTTCTTTTGATGCTTAGTCTATTAATAAAAAGCAAACGCATCTCCTTGGGCATTTTAGGTGTCATGCTGGATAGTTACACATTTACCAAATATCTACTGTGAATTTCTATATTCTGAGAAGCCCAAAGTGTCACAACTAGCTGCCCTAGGTGACGTTTACTCAGAGTAACTTCTTATTAAATGAGAAGCCTGCAAGTCTGCTACTCTGCACTCTCGGTGCAATCTGTGTCCACCTTGTCTCCTCAGGCCAGTTGGAAGTCATCATGGACCGGAGACTCATGCAGGATGACAACCGCGGACTCGGACAGGGTATCCAAGATAATAAAATCACAGCAAACCTGTTTCGCATTCTTCTGGAGAGAAGAATCAGTGTGGACGAGGTAATTATTGCAGAGCTACAGCTTTATTGGAGTAATTGGACTACAACAGAATGAACAACAAAGGATTTAGTCCACCAGAAATACTTAATACAGCAAAAAGCCTCAATTTTATGTAATCAGAAACTAATTCCTGCAACATCTTCAGTACAAATTTTATTATGATAGTAACAATGCTACAGTATAATTAATAATGGATTTCCTTATATGCCATCTTAGTATGTCACACTGCATTCATGACATCACCACATATTAGGCTTAAGCACATGTTTTGTTATATAGTGCCTTGCTGTTTTTCAGAACCTGAAAATGTAATCAACATTTATGTTTATTTTTTAAATAGAAAACTAGAACCTCAAAACATTTGTGTTTATAGATAATATATACATCATACTATAGAAATTAAATTTTATTAATGCTTTTATTTAGTTTGGAAACCTCCTAGTATTTTCTACATTATTTCCCAAACATTACATTTTTATTGAAAGTTGTATCCAAGAAGGCTTTCTTTTGAGAAGCTGGTGTATTGTCAAACTTGAACTATATTACACTATATCCTAGATAGAGTTGATCAACTGAAATTAGTTCTGGATTTTGATGCAGTTACTCCATTTGATCAGTACCCCTACAGCTTTTTTTCTGTGCCAGAAAGATTTGTGACATTTCATTCTGTCTGCTTTTGTTGATGCAGAACAAATTATCATAAAAACATGCCTTTAATACTCTGACAACTGTCCGGATCCATAATTCTATCTAAATTGATTGCAACACAATATAGTAAAACTTAAATCCCAAAATACTCTCTTTCATAAATTGTATATGTGAAAATGTGTATAATAAATTATGTAAATCTGATCCTGTAATAATTTTTAATCATCTGCCATTTTCAAATAGCCATAGAAAGTCCATAGAAGCTTCTGAAAGTCACCTTGATCGCCACTGGGTATTAAAAATGCCCACAGAAGCACAAAACTGCAATCCTTTGTAGCACTTTATCATGGGAAAAGCCAGGGAACTGTCTAAAGCTCTACACAAAAATAAAATAACTTCAGCAATTCAAGTGATGGCTATAAAAAGATAAACATGTTCAAACACAGTTGCTACCAGAGTGTCTACTTTCAAAACCTTAAAAACTAATGTAATGGTTGCTTCCAATCGGGATAAGAGTCTAATTATGCACTTTAATGCAAAGTATGCAAAGTACCTAATTATGCAGTAAGAAGAGTGGTTTGGGATGACCCAACAACAACAATTGGGAATCTTAAAAAAAGAAACTGACATCATCAGGATACAATGTGGTCAAGACAACTAATTTAATCTCATGGATTTGCGGTTGTTAGAGTTGCATCTCATCATAAGAAGAAAAGATTCAAACTGTCCCAAGTGCAAATTAATTGATTTCTAAGTCAAATAGGACCAAATAATATAGTTGAATGAAACATAAAATAAGTTTCTGGATAGTCTCACGTGATTAGCATAATGAAGCCTTTTCAAAATCCTAATTTATCTGGATGGTTTACATCCTCTGGTCTTGTTGTCCTAGTTAGAGATTAGGAACAGATAGATGTCAAAGTTTAATGGGATATTGTAGGCCAAACCTGCTGCCTTGCCTCATGTCGCTTAAAATGGAACTGTTACTCTGTTGTTATGCAGTATGTATATAGTTATATATTTTTATATTTTGGGGTTAAAAGGAATTGGCATTAATGAATTCATTTCAAACCACAATGAAAATAAAATGTACACAGTAACATGTACAACTTCCAATTTACATCACAAAATAGACAACATTTCCTGGTAGCACAGTATTATGTGATTCAGAATGAGCCAACTAGACTTCAGGTGAGGTGAAGTGGCCCTATTATATTGTAAACAAGTAGTCTTGTGAATACATCTCTTTCAATTCAATAGAAATATCACAAATACAACATGCATGTTAACTCTGCATGCAGATCATGTTGGAACATTTCTGCAGTAAAATCTGTGCAGCACACCCTGCACTTATTCGCTCGTACATCACATTAAATTAGTCATTAGAGTGATAGTGAGCAGAAAAGGCCACTTCACATCGCAATTCACACAAACTCTTACTCTCGCCCATGACGAGACCAAGGATTTGTGAAGGACCAAGGATAGTTTCTTGATTTTGCACTTAATTTGGAATTTGTGAAATTTGGGGATAATGTCAATGAATTTATTTTGTTACTGAGATTTAATAATCGGTCTGAGAATTTGGGACTGCAGTTCCCCTTTAAGATTTAGTTTTAAAATTTTTTTACAATAGGATAACACAACAAACCCAACATAAGTAGCAGCATTCTTGATTATCTATCAAAGTTTCTAGTGCAATATGCATGGTATGAGCTAAAGAAAGCAATCTGCAAGCATGAAAGAAGTTCTGCATAAAGTATCAATCAAATATCTTTTTTGTACTAGTTTAAGCACTAGTTGTAGAAGTAGTTTTTGAACACAATTAATGGCTAAAGGAAGTACATCTTTAAAGTTATTAAAGGCAAAAGAGGATTCATGTGCTACGGATTACCAGATTGTGAATAAATGTATCTAGAAATATATGTAACTTGTTTTAACTCATGTTCCGTTTATATATACAGTATTGAACTTCTTAGAAGTCTTTTGATTTATATTTGATTCCTGGAGTTTATACATTTTATTTATACTGTTGGATTTAATCTTATGATTCTAATGAAAGAACATGAGTTTATACATCCCCAAAAAGGAGATAGGTGCACACACTGCTTGAATGTATTTTTATAGAGATAAGCTAATTATTTACAGAGCAGTTAATTAATTTGATTATCTTTTGTAAGTCAAGAGATTACTGTACAGTGGACTACTATGAAGTAGCTAAATCAGTCATTTCGAATTTCTTAATATTTTTAAATATTGCAATATATTGTAGTTGTACATAAGAAATATTTAGGTGATTTTGGATGGCACAATTTAAGACAATGTTTAGGAGTTGAAAGTATGTCCTCTAAAACAGTGTAAAACACTACTCATTTTAAAAGGGAGAATAATTTTAAAATTTGATTTTTGAGTTTCAACAGTAGCCAATTCACAATGGAAATTCAGTAGGCATGAACATTATTCCTGGTGCAACCTAGAAATGACCTTTATAGAATACATTTCCCAGCTTACATTAGGCACTGTTGGGTGCCATAATTCTTCCTCCTTAACATTTAGATTGTATTATGTATAAGGGTAAGATGATATGAACCTCTTAAACAAAACCTTCAGGAGTTGAAGTTCTTACCATACAGAACTATTAATGTGAAGCAATCTGCATATTTTATAGAGCTGCCAGTTTTTACAATCCTCAAAAAATCCTATACTCTAAAATCATTTGATTGTCATACATGTATTACAGTATATTGTTTTAATTTTAATATAAACATATCCAATACAGTATATTATACTACTGTATATCTGTGCTGTACAAGTAACCAGTAGGTTATATTAATAGGTTCATATCCTGGTCACCATTGTAAATATACATTTAAAGTAATTATCATAGCAAATTCAGATATTTTTTACCGTAAGAAAAATATTGCTATACTTCCACAATTAGTAAGTTAATTATTTACAATGGGTTGTCTCATCCATCCTATTCATCACAAAACACTGATGTTTTGTATTTATTTAGTCTAGTAAAATGCTGAGGAGATAAAAAACCAAGAAAATCGCTCAGGAAGACTAAGTCCTGCCATGTCCTCCTTTTTATCTATATAACATAATTGGCTGCTTTTTCAAGAAGCCATAATCTATATGCCCTCACCCAAGAGAAAAGCACATTTGTATTACTTCATAAACTCCAGAATTTAGTGTATAAACAAATGTCAGCATCCTTCTGCTCCTTTGTGACTTCAGTAGGCGTCAGCTCGGATTTTGAGACTTGGCCTTTCTTTCAGAGGGAGTCAGAGAGCTTTACAAACTGTCTAAACCTGCTATGCTCACTAAACCTTTTTACAGACTCTGGGACTAGGCCATACAGACTGTACACACAAAGACAAAATAGCCATCAGTATATAGAGAGCACAAGACTAGAAAAAAATATAAAAAGTATGAGACATACTGTAAAAGAATACTTAAGAGACAATGAAATTAAAGAGGTATAGATACACTAGTTCTTGTAGGATTAAATATATCATGGAATATGCTATGGATTTTATTGTTGGAGAAAGAGGGAGGGACTGTCACAGAGTGAATAAGACATATTTGTTTTAATAGGGTGTGCCCGACACACAATTTGTACAGCAGTTTCAACTTGACAAGCAAGCTAACACCTGCCAGCCTGTGCAGGAGGATCTAGAGGAAGCTCGGTAGTATGCACCCATGGTGCTAACGCCTGTTATTCCCCAGTAGTGATTCTGAAGGCACAAAGGGCAGGAAGGCAGGCTTCAGCTGGGCATAAGTCCTTAATCCTAACTGGAGAATTGGAAAACTGGGAAGGAGAGTTAATCATTTTCATTTCAGTCACATGTTGCAAAAGAGGACTTAGCGGGGTGGCTTTTTGATGTACAGTATGATTTCCCTGGTTGATTGGGAGCCATTGATTTTACACATAACACCATGGCACACAGAAGCTGTCTATGTTTTGACAAAGAAAGAGCTCTGTCAGGGGACAGTTAGTGTTAATACTGTGCAAAGATAAGATAAGATCACTTTATGGGCCATAGACAGTTTTTTATTAGGAATTTGTCTTTTCACATACCTCAACTTGCTCTCCACACAGACAGGGAGAGAAGCTTGGGGTCAGAGCACAGGGTCAGCCATTTATATGGCGCCCCTGAAGCAGCTGAGGTTAAGGGCCTTGCTCAGGGGCCCAGTGGAGTAGGATTCCTCTGTCAGCCGCGGGATACGAACCGACAACCTTCAAGCCGCAGGTGCAGATCCTGAGCCACAGAACCACTGCATCGCCCCATTTCACAAAATGCTATTGTGAAAAATATCCTTGCAGAAGCAGCTGCCTTTTTTCATGATTT